GACTGCGCTCCTGCTGCAGCAGTTTCAGGGCAGGGTGTACACATATACACAGACTGGGAGGACAAGATAAGCAAAACCTGCCCATGTGCGCACGTGCTGGCAAAATTATGTGGGGTGTTTCCATGGGCCTGGGGAAAGATGCAATGTGGGAGTGTGCAGGCTGGTGTGTGGCCCTGGGGGCTGCCCCGGGGGAGCCCTTCGCATTTCAGGCATTTCAGTCCACCAGCACTGGAGCCATGATGTGGGCCCCTAGGGTGCTCAAGGCTTCCCTGCAATCAGGCATGGCCAGGCTGGGCCCTGAGAGAAGCCAGCCAACCAAGGAGTGCTCAGGTAGGACCAGCCCTGCCTGATGAGTAAGACTGCCCTGCAAAGTTCAGGTCCAACGGTTCCCCTAGGGCGAAACTCTCCTATGGGAGCAAGTTGAGTCTAGGGGTGTGGCCGTCCCTGGCTGTGCTCCACTACAGCTGCTCCTGCTGCAAACCCTCTGGGTTCATCAGCTGGCTGCTGCCCTGGCTGCTTCTCCAAGCCTATCTCCCTTGCAACTCCATTGTACGTGATGGTCAAAGGATCTCCTGCCAGGATTCCAGAGGCTGGACGTAAGAAGCATTGCTCCTTACCAGTTCGACTCACCCTTTCCCCCAGTCACTGGGGGCCAGGAATGAGTTCCAGGGTGCAGTAGCCCCATGCAGGCCTCCCAGCTTCCTCCCCCTTTAGCCTAGCTTCTGTGTCTTCCCTCCATCCACTCCCAGTGCCTTCCCTCTGAAGATCCGTTAGGACTGCACCAGTCAAATCAGTCCCTCGGTGGCAGCTGTTGCACCTGGCTGCATCTAGTTGGCCATCTTAACATGTATATTTCCATAACTGATTTTCGTGTGTTGATTTTGTACCCTGCAATTTTGCTGAATTAAAATTAGCTCTAGTAGGTTTATTTATTTGTTTGGTTTTTTTGAGATAGAGTCTGGCTGTCAACCAGGCTGGAGTACAGTGGTGCAATCTTTGGCTCACCATTATAACCTCCACCTCCTGGCTCAAGTGATCTTCCCACCTCAGCCTTCTGAGTAGCTGGGACTACAGGCGTGAGCCACACCTTGCTAGTTTTTGTACTTTTTGTAGAGATGGGGTTTTGCCATGTTGCTCAGGCTGGTCTTGAACCCCTGGGCTCAAGCAACTTGCCTGCGTTAACATCCCAGAGTGTTGGGATTACAGGTGTGAGCCACCACGTCTGGCTAGTAGGTTCATGTATGTGTATATGTATGTGTGTGTATTCTATGGAATTTTCTAAATATAGAATCATCATCTGACAAGAGTTTCACTTCTTCCTTTCCAATTTAGAAGCTTTTATATGTTTTTCTTGTTTAATTTTCTTGTCTAGGACTTCCAGTACAATATTGACTAGTAGTGATGAAAGTGAGAATCTTTGTTTCGTTCCTGTACTTAAGTGGAACACTTTCCATTTTTCACCAATGAGTATGTTGGCTATGGATTTTTTCATAAATGCTTTATTATTTATGAGAAGTTCCTTCTATTCCTAGCTGTGTTTTTGTTATGAAAGGGTGTTGAATTTTGTCAACTACTTTCTCTGCATCTATTGAGATGATAATGTTTTCCCCCTTCCTTTCACTAATGTGGTGCATTACATCAACTGATCTCTTAGGTTGAACTCCTCTTGCATTCCTGGGATTAGTCCCACCTGGTCATGGTGTGTATCACTTTCAGTGAGCTACTGGTTTTGGTTTGCTAGTATTTCATCAGTACTTTTGTGTCTATATTCATAAAGGATATTGTATGGGTGTGTGTAGTTTTGGTTTTTCTTTTTTCCTTTTTTTTTTTTTTTTTTGAGACGGGTTTAGCTCTTGTCGCCTAGGCTGGAGTGCAATGGTGCAATCTTGGCTCCCTACAACCTCTGCCTTCCAGGTTTAAGTGATTCCCCTGCCTCAGCCTCCTGAGTAGCTGGGATTACAGACACCTGCCACCAGGCCTGGCTAATTTTTGTATGTTTAGTAGAGACGGGGTTTCACCATGTTGGCCAGGCTGGTCTCGAACTCCTGAACTCGTGATCCGCCCACCTCGGCCTCCCAAAATGCTGGGATTACAGGTGTGAGCCACCGTGCCCGGCATGCTATTTCTTTAAAAAAATCTTTATAGGCCAGGCACAGTGGCTCATACCTGTAATCCTAGCACTTTGGGAGGCCAAGGTGGGCGGATTGCTTGAGCCTGGGAGTTCAAGACTGGCCTGGGGCACATGGCAAGACCTTATCTCTCCAAAAATACAGAAATTGGCTGTGCTTGGTGGTGGTATGTGCCTATAGTTCCAGCTACTTGGGAGGCTGAAGGGGGAGGATTGCTTGAGCCTAGGAAGTAAAGGCTGCACTTAGCCATGAGCCGTGAGATCACACCAGTGCACTCCAGCCTGGACATCTGAGCGAGATTGTCCCAAAAGAAAAAAAAAAAAAAAAAGACAGGGATATATCTGCATGACTATGGATTAGGCAATGGTTTCTTACATACAACCTAAAGCACACCAACCAAAAGAAAAATAAATCATGCTTTCTCAAGATTAAAAAGGAGACTGTCAAGAAAACACAAAGACAACTAACAGATTGAGAGGAAATATTTGCAAATTATATACATGGTAAAGGTCAATTATCTAGAAGATATATATTTCAAAAATTCATTTAGAGATAGGTCTTCCTATGTTGCCTAGGCTAGTGTTGAACTTCTGGGCTCAAGTGATCCTCCTGCCTCAGCCTTCTGAGTAGCTGGAACCATAGGCTTATACCACCACAACTGGATGTGGAATATGTCAAGAACACTTACCACTCAATAATACAGACAAAACCCAATTTAAAAATGAGCAAAGGCTTTAAATAGAATAAAAATGAGACATCTAAGATTGTTGAAAGTGGTTGCCTCTGGGCAGTGGAAAATGGTGAGGCAGGTGGTGTCTGGATTGGAGGGGACGAGCTATTGTGAACAATAAACCTTGTATCACTATTTGCCTCTCTGGATCACAGTTCACAACAAGGGACGAATTTGCTCCACAGGGGACATTTGGCAATCTGAATATATTTGTCATTGTTATAACCGAGCGGTCTTCCTGACATCTAATGTGTAGAGGCCAGGGATATTACTAAACATCCTACAAGGCAGAGAGAGCCTAAAAGGCAGATATAGCCTAAAATGTCAATAGTGCTGAGGTGAAAAACTGTCTAAAGTATGTTTGAGGCTGGGTGTGGTGGCTCATGCCTTTAATACCAACACTTTGGGAGACTGAGGCAGGTGGATCACCGGAGGTCAGGAGTTTGAGAGCAGACTGGCCAACATGGTGAAACCCCATCTCTACTAATACAAAAATTTGCTGGGCATGGTGGCGCATGCCTGTAATCCCAGCTACTCCGGAGGCAGAGGCAGGAGAATCGTTTGAACCTGGAAGGAGGAGGTTGCAGTGAGCCAAGATTGCACCACTGCACTCCAGCCTGGGTGACAGATTGAGATTTCATCTCAGAGTAAGTAAGTAAATGAAGTATGTTTGATAAAAATACAAACAGAGGTCAATAAAAGTTATCTGTTAAAAATATTTAAAAATCATAAAAACAGTATTTTATACAATATCTACAGACATAGTTTTCTTCATGTGCCATGCTTTGACTACCTTAACAAACAGCAGGGCCGGGAAAGCCTGTCAGGGATGTTTAGTGAATATGGAATTTACTTGCTTGTGAGTTAACATGCCAGGCTAACAGCTATTGATATTATTCAATAAAATACAAAAGAATTCAAGAATAAAGACTATGTTCTCAGGGATCATCTCTATAGTTCGTTACTAGGGAAGTTTCTCGGAACATGTAGAGCACCGAACAAAAACAAACAAACAAAACAACAACAAAAACTAACAAAAAAAAAATCAAAGAATTCAAGAGTAAAATCTGGGCAGCTCACAATAAAGTGGAAGGAAATGTTATATGGGTGGTCACTATAAATATTTCAGAAATCCAATTGCAGTATTATAACGTATGAAAAGAGAAACTACCACATATAAAAACACAGAAAAGAAACGTTAAGTTTTGGAAAATGTAGACTTTTAATAACTGCTTTTATCACCAGGTTAAGCCATGCAGTTACAAAGTAGTAAGAAATTTCTGAAAGGATGTTATAGTTAAAAAAAAAAAAAAAAAAAAAAAGGCTGATTCTTACACATATTATTATATCTAGCACTTCATGGGGACACTACTGCTCAAAAGGCCCTGGCCAAATAACTCCCAAACGAAACACTCAACCCAAGGTTGTTTTCAACCCACTGTTAGTGATGCTGGGTGCAGAATGGAAAACCTCTAAAAGGAGAGGACACAAAGTCAGGTGAGTAGAGGCCATTGGCAATGCTCAGAGCCAGCCAGACTCCAAACAGGGAGCCCAAGTGGTTTTTTTCTGTGACACTCTACTTGAATTACTGTTTAATTAGTCAACCATAGATCTTCAAAAGAGAACAATTAGTTAACATGATAAAAAGGTTACTGCATTCTTTGGACTATGTGTCATAATTATACTTAGCAAATTCTGACAGTTTTAACAAAAATAGCCTCCATCACTTTGCAGGTATGAAGATAACTTAATTATCCACAGGGCTTTTAATGTTTGCTGGACAATACATGACTGATAAGCTATAAATGACACTGTTTTATGATATAAAAATACTAGTTTTTTTCATGTATTATTTTTATAGGCATTCACTGTTTGAGTCAAGGTTAGGCTTGTTAAGTGATTAAAGGCAATTTTATTACAGCAGCATGTACTTATTTTATTCTAAAAGAATAGAATTCATAAACAGAAACAGCTTTTATATTTGTTTGCAACCTGCAAAATTGAGTTATTTTGCTGATATAAAATACTAAGAACTCACTTGAGGACCATGCCACCTTCTGAAAAGGCCACACACCTACTTCTTAAATGTGCTAAAGTTACAGCGTGTCCCAGACTCGTCCAGAGTGAAATAAGCAAGCAACTGACTGCTCTTGCCTGTCCCTTCCCCAGCAATAGCACTGATTGTGTTGGGAAAAGCCACAGAGCAAGGCTGCACAGCCAGATGGAGGAGACTTTTTATTTAAAGGCAAAATACCCAAATGGCTCTCTGGTGTAGGTGATTTCTACTTTCACACTCAGCTTGTACATGATCCCCTAATCTTAATTTCTTTCTCCTTCACTTCCAAAATCCTTCACAATCCAAATCCAGTCCCTGATTTGGATTGACTTGTTGAGAATGGTATCCATTATTACTGAGTCAGGAGAGAAAGGGATTTCTGTGGTTACATGTAAACTTGTGATAGGTCTGCAGAAGTTACAGGTGAAGAGGGTAGTGAGGAAGTCAGCCACGATCCATCTATGTGAAGGTCACACCAGCTTCATTGTACACTTTGAAGACTTTCTCAATGGCATTGACATAGGCAGCTGTTCTCAGGTCCAATCCCAGGTTATACTTCATGGCTGTGCGCATAATTTGCTGAAAAGAAAGAGAAAATGCAGTGAAGATGATCCTGACTCAAGGGGCCAGGCCAAAAACACACAAGGCCCAGACAGGCCTGGTCCAAGTTACCTTCTCAGTGTTTCAAGGCAGGACTTGGGCAGCCAAAGACAAACTACTGTAGCAGCAGAACCACTAGGCAAGAGGGCCTAATTCTCTGGACTTAACAATGGGGTGGCTGGGTGCAGTGGCTCACGCCTGTAATCCCAGCACTTTGGGAGGCTGAGATGGGCAGATCACTTGAGGTCAGGAGTTCAAGACCAGACTTGCCAACATGGTGAAACCCTGTCTCTACTAAAAATACAAAAATTAGGCCGGGGTGCGGTGCCTCACACCTGTAATCCCAGCACGTCGGGAGGCCAAGGCGGGTGGATTACTTGAGGTCAGGAGTTCGAGACCAGCCTGACCAACATGGTGAAATCCCATCTCTACTAAAAATACAGGCGCAGGGGTGGGCACCTGTAATCCCACCTGCTTGGGAGACCGAGGAAGGAGAATTGCTTGAACCCAGGAGGTGGTGGTTGCAGTGAGCAGAGATCGCACCACTGCACTCCAGGTGGGAGACAGAGCGAGACTCCATCTCAAAAAAAACAAAAACAAAAACAAAAATTAGTTGGGCGTTGTGGCTCACACCCGTAATCCCAGCTACTCGGGAGGCTGACAGACAAGAATTGCTTGAACTCGGGAGGCGGAGGTTACAGTGAGCTGAAATTGCGCTACTGCACTCTAGCCTGGGCAACAGGGCGAGACTCCGTCTCAAAAACCCAAAAAAAGAAGGGAGTGATGAAAATGTTCTAGAATTATAAAGTGGTGATGGCTCGAATATACAATAAAGGATGCCGAATTTTATACTTTGAAAGGATGAATTTATAGGACATAAACCCTAACTCAATAAAAAATTAACAAGAAAAACAACAGCACTAAGAGGCATCACCTTCTTCATCAATATCTGCTATGCTATTTCATCATAAATCCAAGCAGATAGAATCTGAACCCAAGAAGAAATTAGGAAAACGGGACTCAAACTGTGGTTGAGGCCTTAAAGTAGGGATCAAGCAGTCAAAACAACTTGTGCTTATACCAAATTCTACAGTAAGGTAGCCTCCTGTAGCTGTAACATAGTGGCGCACTGAGCTACAACCCAATTTGGCTAACTACTCGATATTGGGCTAGCTGCCAACATTATTACCTCCTAAATCAGCCTTATTATTTCTTTCCAAAGCCTCATAAACGTATTTGAAGACTCTAAAAAATTGCTCATCATCTGAGACTCAAAAAGCATGTGTTTTGCTACACAAATGAGGACCATTGAACAGATTGCTATTTTCTATCAGCACACACAGTCTGGCGGCTGAGATAACACGGTTGAGTTACATTTCATGTGACTAGCAGGAAGGCAAACAGCATCTGCACACATACCCTGGCAGATCGCTCCATTGTGTACGCCAAGCCAGAATGCACGATGTCTTTCTCAGATGCACCCTATTAGGGAAAAAGAACACATGTTTAACAAAAACACAAAGACCTGCTTTGTGTCCCTGTATAAGACGACAAAGGATTCTCACGTAAATATATGACCAGACAGAATTTTTTGTCTTTCAGCAAAGATATGTCATTTCTGTACAGTATCAAAGATACAGTATCTTGATACTTAAGTAACAATTTATTTTTATTATATTTGACAGCAAACAAATACTCATGAAATAAGATTATGGTACAACAGTGAAGACAGTTTTTGGACCTGGACACATGAGGGTATGGAGTGAGATGAGCACCCTCCACTCACGGAGACGCAGATGCACTGAGCAATGTGTTACGCTGTTCATGCCATGGTGCGTTCACCTCGGCTCCCCAGAGAACAGGGACACCACCCAGAACCCAGAAAGGAATCTCATTAAACCCCAAAGCGGC